ATTTAAGAAAGTTAAGATGAAGGATTCAAAAGAGGTAAGAAATCTAGAATATAATCCACTAACCAATTTCAATTACAAAATATAAACTATTCTCTTTTTATCATATTTCAACTTAGATTTATTAAGCATAGATTATCAAACCATTTAAGGAAAGTGTAACCTATCAAATTATCATCTAAGCTAAAATTACTATTCATGATAAGAACAACAACATGATAATAATCCTAGAATTCATAAGCATAACCTATCAAACCATTTAAGATAAGCATAGATTATCAAATTCTTCTTCTACCGATTAGTTCTCTAGTTGATTATCCTAAACATAAACATTTTAAGTGCAAGAGAAGAATTCATACAATATAAAAGAAATTAGACTAGTTTCATACAATTCTAAGATTCTTACAAGAATTAAATTCACATCTTAAGAAATAAAAGCAAGAAGAAAAGGAACTAATTACAAAAATAAAAAGAAAAGAAAAATCTAAACTATGAACAAGAAATAAATCTAACTACAAAGAAAATAAAAATCTAAATTACAAAATATATTACAAAAATTAAATGCGAGAAAATAAATCTATTCTACAAATTAAAGTGTAAAAAAATAAAAAGATAAGAAAATAAATCTACACTACAAGCATGAATTTAAATCTAACTAATAAGCAATAATAAAGAAATTACTAAAAAGAAATAAAAGAGAAAATAAATGCAAACATTCAATTTGCTCTTCATCTCCATCCTCATCATTCAACAAAGAGGAGAAAGAACAAATTTAAAGAGGAAAAAATTATTATTATTAATTACAACTAAAGTTATAATTTTTAAAAGGCCTTCTCAATTAAGAGTAACCCTCCTCTCCAAAAGGAGTTTATAAAATTTTTCATACCCTTAATCCCTCACTCTCTACCCCTATTTATAGTAATCATCAATGAATATCAGCCATTGGATTTGTATTGAGCCCCAAGCATCAATCTCCACCTTTGAATTTGCTTTTTGTTGTTCTCTAGCCCAACCATAGGAGGCCTAATTGATTTTCAAAAAAAAAAACAATTGAAAATTAAGTTGATCCATGAAGAGTTTTCAGCAATCAAGTCCGGCCCTCAATCTTCCCATTTGATTGAAAATGAAATCTGCAGCGGCCCATTGGAGCTTCCTAAAAAAAAATGAAGAGCTTGCAAGTCCGGCCCATAGAAAAATCAAAGCATCCGGACTCATGGAAAAATCAAGGCTGCTGCAAGTCTTTGGCCCATAGCATTTGATTTTCAAAAAATGAAAATCCGGCCCATTTACAAATCCAATCTCCAGCAGCATTTAATTCGGTCCATGAAGAAAAAAAAAATGAAAATCCGGCCCATTTACAAATCCAATCTCCAGCAGCATTTAATTCGGTCCATGAAGAAAAAAAATCGAAGCTGCAATCCCAAAGTTTCAAGACCGGTCCATTCATTTCATTTGATTTTCAGCTGCAGCATAATCCGGTCTAATGGAGCTTGATTTGGTGTATTCATTTGATGGGCTTTGGGCCTTTACATCCTTATATTTCACTTGAGAATTGGTTGAGTTTCTTGATGGGTTTTGGGCCTCCAAAAATTCGAAATTCATTTGTGAAAAGAGAGGAGGAGCTGCCATGGACATTTGGGACATTTGGGCTTTTAAAATTCAAATATTTCACTTTGGCTTCTTGAATTTCTTTTATTTCTTCATTTACTCAAGGGCCTTCGTTGAGAGATGGGATTTTTAGGATTTATTCTTCATTAACCTGTAATTAAATATAAAAGCAATTATTAGTGGTATATTTATTCATATAAAATAGATAATGAGGGTAGAAAATTGTAATAAAATGTGATTATCATAGGTGCGGTCATTCTTTGATGACTTGCTTATAACATTGGTTTGTTGTGGGTTTTAATTCCAATCTGAGCTTGTGAGCTTGCTTGCTTGTTGTGGGTTTGAATGAGTATGCTTGCCCCAATTGAATACAATTATGTTTGTTTTTTGTGGGAGGTAAGCTCACCAAAGGTTCTTATATTCACCAATTATTATTTTGGTAATCCTAAAACTTGTTTGTTACAACTATAGATTTCAAATTCTAAAATTTGTAATGCCATAGTTTGAGTTTGAAACAATTATAGCATTCCAAATCCTAAAATATTGATGAAACAAACAAAGTTTCAAATTTTTTTTGAGAGGTAAGCTCACCAAAGGTTCTTATATTCACCAATTATTATTTTGGTAATCCTAAAACTTGTTTGTTACAATTATAGATTTTCAATTCTAAAATTTGTAATGCTACAATTTGAGTTTAAAACAATTATAGTATTCCAAATCCTAAAATATTGATGAAACAAACAAAGTTTCAAAAATCTCGACCCATGTTAAAAAACCTATGGATTTCAAATCCCATGATGAAATCCATATCCTAAAATTATAGGATTTAAAACAAACACCCCCTTAGCATATGAAGGTGCACATAATGTGAGATTTTTTTTCTTATTTGTAATTTCAAATAATTTCATTTTACAGTGATCTTCTAATAACTATAAGGGCCTGTTTGGAAACTAGAATTTCATTTCAAATAGTGTATTTGGTCCAATTCTAGTGTTTGGATCCATAAGAATTTGAATACTGGATATTAGCCCAAATCCATTCAATAGTTTAAACCTATACAAGGCCCATGATTCTAAATCCCGATTGATAGCATGTCATTTGCAATTCCCGTTTCTTCTCTCTCCACTTCCGCTCTCACAAATCCCCCCCCCCCTCGATCTCTCAACCGGCGATGGCGACGACGACGACGAGATCTCTCCCCACCGCCATCTCCAACGGCGACGACCTCTCCCCCTTCATCCGCCGCGCCTTCGCCCAGTCCAAGCCCGAGGCCCTCCTCCACAACCTCCGCCTCTTCGAGACCGAAACCCTAAAAAGCTCGATCTCCGACTCTTGATGGTCTTGAAGATCTAAGCTCGGATATTGGGTTTGAGATCTCACGACTTCGTCGATTTGTTGAATTTTAGGGTTGAGGTTTGGGATTTCGGGGAGCCATGGTGAGCGAAGGAGCGTCGAGATACGTGAAGCTGATGAAGGATCAGGATTCGTCGATGGAGGAGATCCGCCCCGGCGAGCTCAATCAGCCTGTTAGGGTTCCTCAGGTATAATCCTTGAATTATTAGAAGAAATCCAGCTTTGTGCATGCCACGATTAGGCACTGGCTCTTGAATTGGAAATGGTACTATCAGTTTCAAACTGTTATGTTATAGATCTCGGTGGTATTGTTGCTAATTTGTTAAATTATGGATCTCAATTGTTAGATTAACTCCTTTTTTTTATTTTTTTTTATGTAGAACTCTGAGTAATGCTTGAATTGTTTGAGCAATTGATTGAAAATGAACTGACGATGGTGTAAGACCCTAGAGGGGGGGTGATTAGGGTCTTATGCTAATCTAATCCCGATTAATTACTAATTAAAATTATGTTGATCAATATGTTCTTACAAGAGATAGATATGAATAAGAACAATAAGAAAATGCACAAATAAAATATAAGTCAAGCAAAACACAAACACACGATATGTTTACGAGGTTCGATTACCACGACCTACGTCCCCGCTCCTCACCTCGATGAGATATCCACTATCACAATCCGGTTTGGAAGCCGGAACTTCTACACACTCAGTTTACAAGATCACCGAAAACTCTCAGACTACACAATCACTAATCAATCACACTTTATACACTAAGTGTAGGAACCTAGCCCGTGTCCTCCTCTTCAAGTGCTCGGTTACAACCTCTCCCAAGATTCGTCAACCAACGCCACTCCTATTGGATTCGACCCCGTCTCTCGCCTCACACTTCTCTCGGTGTACAAGTGTATTACAAGTGATTATCACAAAAGAAGATTAAATACAATGGTTTGTTCTCAAATAACAAGTGAGAACACAATGAAGCTCACACTCACTAAATCACACTCCACAACCCACACTATATGGTATGAAGATATTAAGCTCAATATGTGTATGTGATAACAGTGAATGAAACTCAATAAATATAACTAATTGAAATGAAAACGAAATAACAAGCTATATAAGAGTTTAGAAGACTTCTCAAACAAGAAGAACAGTAGATGATGATCCCAATAGGATTTGAAAACCACTTCTTGTTGTAGGAAAACTTCTCTTGAAACAGATTGATGAAATCAGCTTTAAACAGCTCTTTGAAATACACTAAATATTTTGTTAAACACAAAACTTGGATTTCTTAGATGCATAGAAGAAGAGAAGCAATGAGGTATATATAGCAACCCAATACATCAGTAAAAACACAAGTAAAAGACCAAAAAAATCATTTAAAAACAGCTGTAAAAACTAGCCGTTGGAAATGATCTGACAGTTCGACGGTCGACCGGTACGGTCGACCGCGAAGCTCAAAAAACACAGTTTTGAAAATATAAAGCTGGCGGTCGACCGCGAAAGTCTCTGGATGTTTTCACGGTCGATGAAATAAACATGTTTGAAAAGGAATTTTTGGAAAATCAATTTTCGTTTGTGAAAACTCCCTGTTTTTGAAAAGTGTTCAGAAAACCTGTTTTTCGTGAACATGAAAATTGACATAAGGCTTGTAAATATGTATATATATATTATGCATGTATTATATGTATATAATGAATTATGAAAGAGCTGTAAACATGAGATATAAGATATTGTAATGACGTTTGATGAAAAATCATTTATTTGGTAGAAAACGTCAAAAATCGTGTTAAGTGTACATATATTGAGCTTAGATATTAACATACAATATATGTAAGTAAACTAAACTTATACCTAGGTAAATCCACACATATGAACTTGAATCTTTAACGCTTGATTGTCGTGTGTTGAAATACCTGTAAAGAGAAACATAAACACAAAACTAGAGAGTATATTAGCGATAAATTGTTTGAAAAATCATCATCAAAACTATAGGGTCAACAGATGGTACATTTTGCGGGTAGAAGCATTAAAATGGTTTTGTTCTTTAGATCCTTTATCAGCGTGCTACTAGAATTCATGAAAATGTAGCTTTTTTAGATAGGACTATCGAAGAAATGGGACTAGAGCATTGAATAAATTGAATCTATTGGAATGAGTTTTTTTTAAGTAGAACTTGAATTTTGCTGGATATATCTCCATGAGATGTGTAGACATTGAAACTTATGGGAAAGAACTGGTTGTTGTTGTTGTGGTTGTAGTTGGAGGTTAGCAAATGCAATGAGTGCCAGCAGCCCCTTCCAGAAAGCTACGAGCCACCAGCTGATGAACCTTGGACAACTGGAATATTTGGTTGTGCCGAGGATACTGACAGTTGTGAGTTATGCTCATACTTTCACAGTTGTGATGATTAAGTGATAATTTTTCTTCACTCGTTATACTTGGCCTCCTGATGGTCTTGAAGTTCCAACGATGCCTTTATAAGATGAATGAATCTGCGAATTTTCCTTTGAATATGTGTTTATGATGTCTGTTATTTTAGCATGCTAAATTAAAGCTATTACTTGTTTTTTACTTCAATTTTCCTTTCTGCATATTTTCATTTCTATCAATATAGCTTGTGAAGGGCAATGCATCATCAATAGCTGTTCATGTGCCAACTACGAAGGCGAAGCCAGTCTTCCCAAAACCTGAGAAAGTGCCTCTTCCTTCAACAACACCTGCTCGTGCTTCTGAAGTCACGACTAGTGGTAGCAATAGTACGTCAGAGACGAATGATTCCCATAAAGGTGCCCTCTCTTCTGAAGTCACGACTAGTGGTAGCAATAGTACGTCAGAGACGAATGATTCCCATAAAGGTGCCCTCTTAACACCTGAAACGATCACCATTTTTATTTACTGGTTGCATGTTCTAACTCTGATCTTTCTCTTCACTTCCTATAGGAGGTCACTCCATCTTTGTTCGTAATTTACCTCTGGATGCTACCGTTACTCAATTGGAGGAGGTATTCAAGAAGTTTGGACCAATTAAACCGCAAGGTGTACAAGTCAGAAGCCACAAGGTTAGAACATATTTATTCTTCAATCTGCATTCAGATTTATTTGGAGAAGAAAGCCGGAAAGTGTGCATTTAGTCTGTATGTAATGTCGCTTGTTTTTGCAGATGGAACATAATTGTTTTGGCTTTGTTGAATTTGAGTCATTAGACTCCTAGCAAGCTGCGATGGAGGTATGGCTAGCTGCTAATATCTAATTCTTAGAAGTGCTTAAAAAAGTGTGGATTCAACTTCTCATTTTTAAACAATTGTTTTAGGTTATCCCACACGTACAAGTTAGTTTTTTATGGACTTTAGCGCTTGTATTCTACTGTCTGCTATCACTCTTTTTTTTTCAATTATTGCTTCTTCTTCCATGTCCTTATGAAACTGCATCCTGTTTCACTGAGGGTTTTTTTCCTTCTTATTTTTCTTTTCTTTTAATTGTCTGATTTTATCCTGTCAGTGTTCTCTATGCTGTTACCTAATCGAGTTTTCTTTTTAGGCGTCAGCGATAATCGAGTTTTCTCTATGCTGAAATATATGCTCTTTTTAGTACAAGCATTTTGTATGGAAATCACATGGTTTCATCATTCTGGCTTAAATTGAACTCTCCACATGTTGTTCATCAATTTTATTTAAGTTAGGGGACTCATTAGCTTGTAAAATTCTTCAGTATATTCTGCAACCGAGCGATTAAGAATGGAGCTTATTTGGTCTTCTTGTTATTGTTTCAGGTGATTCAAGAACTCACAAAGTAAGACTTTCTGAACCGAGGGGAGAAAACTACAAAAAAAATACAAAGTAAAAGTGTATAAGCATTAAAAAGAAACTCTCATTTGAATCAGATGTAAAAGTTTTAAAGAAACTAGTGCGAGAGCAACTTATGCATGATACTATGTAACGATGAATTATTAACTTTTGTTGGTTTGTATTTGTTGGATATTTTCGATCTCTAGTTTGTTGAATTGTTATATCGAATTATTAACTTTTGTTGGTTTGTATTTGTTGGATATTTTCGATCTCTAGTTTGTTGAATTGTTATATGCAACATTTGAAGTTTCTACTTTATTTATTGTTGGATATTTTCGATCTCTAGTTTGTTGAATTGTTATATGCAACATTTGAAGTTTCTACTTTATTTATTGTTTTGGTTAGTGGTAGATGAGCTTACAAGGTTTTATTGATGAATGATTTCGGTTATTTTATGGTGATAATTAGGTCAACGATTGACATTACATTTTAAGATATTTTATCTATATGTCAAGTTAGTTGGATATGTGATATACTATTTGAGCTAGGGCTGTTAATCGGTTTGAATGGTGCGGTTAATAGGTGACACCGAACACCAAACCGATCTATTTTTTCGGTTTGGTTCGGTTTGGTTTTTCACTATTTTTTTCAAAAACCAATTGTGTTCGGTTTAGTTCGGTTCGGTTTTTCTCTGGTTTATATCTGGTTTTTTTCGGTTATTCTATAAAGAAAACAAGTATAGAAAAGTAGAAAGTAGAAATGTCTCATATTACATAACCATTTCCGAAAAAAGCGATGAAAAACTAGAATAGCAGAAAGATGATAGATCAGAAGAACAAGATCAATTACCCGACCACTTATTTGTAGTTGTAAATTTATGGATCCAGGTTTTTTCCCCCATAGAATTAGAAGAACAAGATCTTCAGAAGACATTGGAGTGTACATGCGTCTTGCTAAAGAATCATAACATTTTTTTCCTCACAGCAGAGGGTAGTTCTCTTCATACGTGAGGTTCTCTGGTAGAATGCTATTGTTTCCAACAACTTGCACATGTACCAATGACATCTCTATTTTCCATTGTTCTGAGGGTGTGTTTGGTTAGTATTTAGCAAGCAAAAAAAAGAAAAAGAAAAAAAAACATGAGAAATGTGGTTTCTGGGACCTGACTATGTTGCCACATAAGATTTTAGTTTCCAATTGATCCATTTCCCTTGTTTGCTTCGGTTTTGGTTTCCCGTAAGCTGAGCCGGGTCAGTAAAATGTAAATCCCATTCAGACCAAAATGGGAATAAAATAACTTTTCGATTTTTCGGTTCGGTTTCGGTTTCCAGACATTCGAAACCAAAACCACACCAAACCTTTCGGTTTTCGGTTATTTTTTTCGGTTTGGTGCGGTTTTTTCTTTCCTCGGTTTTTTCGGTTATGGTTCGGCTTTGGTGTGGTTATTTTTTCGGTTATCGGTTTTCAAGTTACAGCCCTAATTTGAGCCATTTATTTTTACTAATTTCGATGCAAACCTTTTATAATTTGAATATCTTATTTCTAAATTATATTCGAGCTATAATTTTAGTTCAGAAATTAGAATTCTACTAGTTAACAAACAACTCAATTGAAATTTTTAAAATTAAAATTCTAAAGTTTATCAAACATGAATTTTAAATTGAATTCTGAAATTCAAATTTGGATGTTCCCCAAACGAATGAATTGAATTTGAAATTCTGGATTTCTAATTTCAGAATTCAATTCTAGAATTTGAAATCAAATCCTCGAATCCAAACACAACCTAAGCTACTTTCATTTGCTGAAACCTAAAAACCCCCCACTAATTTCCTAACCGCCGGGCTCTTCTAAATATATAAACAAATTGTAAACATATATATACATAAAACTTTGGACTTCTTTAAGCCTGAAAATTTATATCAGACTAATTTTTTTATACCATTGAATACAATAGAACAAGGGGCTGTTTGATTGCATACTTTTTGAGAAAACTTTTCTCAAAACATCTGACAATGATAAATTTATAATTAAAAGTTTTCCAGAGATTTCTGTAAATTGTGTTTGGTTCAACAAAAAATTTACAGAAATATTTTTTATAAAATATCAAAACCTACCAAATTTTACAAAAAAACAATTTCCTCTCAAAATGAGAAAAAATCACCAAAAATCTGACACATACCATATTTAATTAAAAACCTACCAAATCTTGTTATTTTCTATAAAGTTATGAGCCATTTTCTTGTTTTGAACCAAAAGCAAAGTACAAAAAACAAGAAAATTGATACTTTTTGATTTCTCAAAACTTTTCCTATAATTTTTTTAAGAAATACAAGCAAATCATATTTTAAGTGAAAAATATTTCCCATAATTTCTAAAAATTGAACCAAACACCCCCTAAGATAAAACGTCCTAGAAGCAGAAACAATGATAAGGGGTCAAAATTTACTCGCACATCTACATATTTAACCTGCTAATCACGTTACTATTGAAGGGAAACATGGGTACCTTGGGTTCACATAAGCCCGGCCCGTGACTGATATTTCCATCACGGCGGGAAGAGAATCTTAGTGGATTCGAACCACCAACCTCTCAAGGTTCTAAAACCCCGAGCGCTCTTACCATTTTGAGCTTAAAGATCCACAATCAAAAGATGCAACCGCAAACAGAAAACGTTACTAAACCCCTAAAACATTACCCCTCAATACGAGTCAAAATGTGTTTCCCACTCCCGCAAGCTCCATTTTTTTATATTCCGGAGAGAGACTACTCCCCCACAAGGGAACCTACAAGGAGTCAAAATTTGTTCACTACTTGCACATCGGCATAATTTCAGCATATTATATCTACACATTTATCACAATTCCAATTAAAACCAAATAAAATCAGCGCATTATACTAAATGCATTCATCACCACCCTATATTTGTTTAAATAACTTCAGTTTAAACAGCAAAATTTTAACGTCATATCTAATACGGTCATCACAACCCTAAAATCGTCTACATGGAAACAATAATAATAAATAGAAGACATACTTCACTTTCATATTTTAATCTTGCACGGAAGCAAACAGAACATCGTGCAACGACATTTTTCATTAACAAATTGAATTTCTCATTTCCCAAGGTCTGCCTTCTACAATCACCATCCAACTTCAGCAGTCCTACACTAGGTTTAGAGGTGAAACAGAAGCCAGCGTCTTATTGCTTATCTAGAAGGCTCGGGGTGGAAAAGGCGGAAATAGTCTGGCGGACAAATAATTTAAAAAAGAAATGTAACCACAAAGCCTGCAAGCCGAAGAACTTGCTCAAGGTTCTCCCACCTCGGAATTAACAAAGAAGATTTTCTAAATAAACACATTCATATTTTTTTAGAAAAAAATATAACCCCTTGAATTTTATATTACAAAAATAGACTCATTTCGTAAATAGTCAGGGCTACCAACCAGAAACTATAAACTCCTAACTATAATCCTAAATCCTAACATTATATATACTAAATAGTTAGGATTGCAACCCAGACTATTTAAAAACTAGATCAAGACAAAATGAGTCGTTTTTGTTAAAAAACCTCAAAGAAGGATCAATTTTAGAAAAAAAAATTTATGAACGGGTTTGTTCATAAAATTTCTTCAATTAACAAAAAACTACTTAACAAAACTAACGAACTCAAAAACTGATTTTTATCCTTCACCTACCATACAGGAAGCAAAACTAGAACACAATCCAACAAATATCATACGCAACAGTAAATTTGACACCTGCCCCGGTAGCCTAGCCTAAGCCAACAAATTAGAGGGACATTTTCTCACTACGCCCATGTTACTTCATTTGACAATAACATCCAACAACTACAGCAACTGCACTAGGCAGGACTCCACAAAATTCAGGGAGCAAACTGCAATAATCACCAGCAGCAAATAAAAATCCGGAATGTACAGTAAGCACTACAAATTTCTACTGCAGCAAATAAATTGAGAAATACGAAATAATTTGAAGGATAAAATACAAACATATTACCATGCTATTACTGCAGACGGCTGTGGACAAGTAGCTACTTTCGTTCTTATTTGAAGCCCTCCAACCAGATTTCAGTTAATCCGAACACAGAGAAGGCTCCCATTCAGCAGATGACTGCAGCCAGAGAAACGTCTTCCACAGAAGACAGCAACCAACGAAGCAGCCTCCAAAGAAGACTGCAACCAGCAAACAGCACCAGAACGCAGCCAGAGAAACAGCTTCAGCAGAACATCACAGCCACAGAACAGCCATCAGTCGCGGCTTGATCAATAAATGAACAACTTCACAACCTTTTAATTGCTGCCACTTAAATCATATGCTCAAATAACAAATAATAGACAGCTCCCCTGTAAGTTATATAATACCAACTTCTTTAAACAAGTGGCAAAAGTACTCGCAATTTATCTATGGCCTATGACCCAACAACAAAGAGAAGAAACTGCACACTACACTTCAACTTTGCCACAGCATTTACAAGTGTAAATAGGCCAGGGATGCCAGCTTAAAAGCCAGAGATGGCGGCTTAAAAACAATACTCATAATTGAGGAAGAAAATCAACAATTACTTGAGCAGCAACAACCATCAAGCAAGTAAACATAGTACCAAAGCAGACAAAAGGCCTGGCTCATATAAAACTAAGCCGCTGCAATCACCCCCCAAAACACCAACTAAATATTATTAATAGTAGCAACGTACCAAGCGAGCACACCCAGCATGGCAAAGGTCTTGACAGATAGAAGTGCATACCAAGTGCAAGTCTCGGAATATCATCCTCCCCCGCTTGTAGCAGCTCATAGGAAAACTTTATCGCAAAGTGCACAAGATACACCATTCAGTAACGGAAGCAACAGATACCTCGAATGATCCAAAGCTCAAAAAAGGTCGGCGGTACTAATGCTGAGTCGAAACACCCATTTGAATACATTCCTTTGATCAGATCATGAACGGATGGCAGAAAATTCATCACAGCTAACTCTAAAAATACAAATGATTACACGACACCACTCTACAAGATCTTAATACAATGACTTCAAAAGCACACAAGATTTTACAAATAAGTTTCAAGAGTGAATGAGCATGAAGAAAAGCTTTGCAATATTATAAAACAATTGGAAGACAACATGAGTAAATAACTATCAAACGTTAATCAACATATGCCATCAAACGTTAATCAACATATGCCAAAGGAAAGACGCCACCTGACAACCACACCTTGAGTGAAAAGGAACTATATAATTAACAAATAGTTCACCAATTATTCGCGCAAACTCTCGAGCCACATTTTATTTGGAGTTCATCCGACAGTAAACGAGTAGTTTAATGTTCATACAGTAAATGATTAGAGCCACATTTTATTTGGAGTTCATCCGACAGTAAACGAGTAGTTTAATGTTCATACAGTAAATGATTAGATTTTAATATTGAAGTCGTAAACATATATAATTTAACAAAATCTATAATTCAATTGGTATATTCTATTTGTTCGCATATCTGAAATTCACTTAAAAGAGTGTTTGGTCCAAATGCCAGGATGTTAAAATTTGTAAAATATCATGGAGAGAGTTTCAAATCAATAGGGTTCTATACATGCTTCTAAGATTCATAATATTTTGTTTGGTTGAACTTCATTATAGGAAAGCAAATCCTAAAAGCCCTAATATCTTGTTTGGATCAAACCCAAATTATTGGATTCCAAAATACAAAGAACCTCACTTAATTATCCCAAAACTTATAAACCACACCAAAATGTCAATTAATTTTGCTTACACCAAACAACCCTTTCGAGTCCGGCATGCACGATGACATCAACACGCAAGTTCGTACTTTTTTAGGTTTCATGCCAACTCTCACCAGCTTAAAGAGCGAGCTCTTTAACTGGATAAAAGATAACGTAATATTAAACTATTCATCATAAAATTACGTAATACGAATCTGCGCTAAAATTATGTAGTTTCTAACTTAAAAATTACAAGAACACCATAAAGGGAGATTTGAATTTGTAGTCGAATCTGAAGGCTTGAAATGAACACAAACACCGACCGTGCTATTTAACTCAAAATCATCAAAGAAACCAATAAAATGAGACTCAAATTTGTAAATTAGGTGATGCCTCGAATAAATCGTCAGGGGCGTTTATGTGCGAGATGTAATAAATATATCGAAAACTAGGCCGTCACATAGTACTCCAGCGCAATTTCAATTCTAGCATATTAGTAGACACTCGCAAGATTCAAACTTTACCAGTGAATCGACGAAAAAGTACTGAAAACGGATTGTGCAAGTTTTATGTACCTGGCTGCAGGCAGGCAGATCTCCAGAGCGGAACGGATTATCTAACCAGCAGAAAACCAGAAGGAGAAAGCAGGCACCAGCAAGCAGATCTCCAGAGCGGAACGGATTATCTAACCAGCAGAAAACCAGAAGGAGAAAGCAGGCACCAGCAATAGGGGGAGAGAACCCGGGGTTGAAAAATTTTAAGCACCCCGTACGATCTCCCCCCAAAACACACAAAAAAATAAATTTTATTAATGAAGGCGACCTGCCATGCGAGCGCACCCAACATGGCAAAGGTCTGGTCGTAAGGAAACACATACCGAGTACAACTTCCAGATCACTGCGTCTCTCGAGCAAGCCAGACCCCCAGGGTACCCAAAACAAGTACATCGCACCTCTCTCAATTTAATTTTCTTACAACAGAATGGCTTACACAGCGCACGATCGTCAAATCTCTACAGATCGGAGAGACGCGGGGTTAGATCTGGGCCAGATCTCCCCCATCAAAGCGAAATCAGCGAGATTCGGATGCCCGAAGCGAACAGACATCGCCGACGTGAAACAACCCATCCAGATCTCCACCGATTCGCCCGGATCTGGAGGCGAACGAGTCAACACCTCGTAGATGTGGACGAAATCATCCGCAAGCATGATGACTCAAAGCTAACCACCTGCAAAACTTCAAAAAAGAAATTTTTTTGGGGGAGGAGAAAAAAAAACATGAGCTTTAAGTAAATCGAACGACATCCCACCAAAAGACCTCGGATCTATGGCCGGGATAAACAACGGAGGGAGGGAGGGAGGGCTAAAGAGAGCGGCCAAGGGATGGAGAAGGAACGAGAGGGGAGGGCTCTATTTATTGGGTTCCTCAACAAGATCGGCGGACGAAATTAAGCGGTGGGACACATCGACGGCTGCAAAACGTGACACGTTTTGACGCTGGGTGACAACCATTCAATTAACCTTTAAGCGTGAAACCTCTGTGCACGCACCCAACTTCCTCACCTCTTTGCAAGTTGTGGGCCCATGCTAACCTAAATACGGGGGGGCGTTCTTGTTTTGGTGCGGCTGTTTTCATCTATTTAGCTTTTTTTTTTTAACTAAGTGGTTGGAATTGGTCCTCGGAGAGGGTTGCGTGGAATCTTTCTTAAAGCGTGCCGCACATGGCGGGTGCAATTTACGTCACTGCTTACGCCATAAGAGTTGTTTGAAACGTCCAGGCCTCCTTGCATCGTGAAGGCCGTCTATTTTAGACTTTGAACACGCAGCAGGATTTGTTTCCACTCATTTACAGACACGTTATGCAAATCATGATAGATATGACAATCGTGTGGGATTGTCGTTTGCTCTAAATGGTGTTCGCTGTTGCGGAGATAGTACTCCAAGTGAACTGCTTATTTGGCGATACTTATCTCAACAAGCTGGGCTGACTTTGCTTGTTAAGAAAGTATGGTAATACTATTTGGATGGGCTTTTATTGTAGCCCCATTCCCATTGCCCAGAAAACATTGCAGGCCCATACTCCTCTATCCTGCTAGAGCTCGTTTCATCCTTCGGATTGAAACCCACAGCCTGTTACGCTTTATATATTTTTTAGTTTAAATGCTATGAGGCCTCATTTTACAAAATTGAGAGACAAATTGTGTTTTAGCCCCTTTACAAAACTGACGTCTCATTAGCATTTTTATTAGTATCTATCCTCACTTAATGGACTGTCCCATTCCGCTATTTTCTCACTCATTTGTATTAACCTTTAGATTCAAGTAAAAAATTAACTCCTTCCCTCTTCTTCTTCTTGGCGATTTTTTGCAAAACTTTCAGGATTATTTACAGTTTTTTAAACTTTCTAGGAATTTTTCTGCAAAATTTTTAGGCCTTTTGCAACTTTTAGATTTTGGGCGTTTTGTACAATTTTTTGGTGAGACATTTGTATCTATTTGAAACTTTCTGGGGGATTTCTACAAAGTTTTTGGGATTATTTGTAATATCTATATTTTAAGGGGGGTGTTCTGCAAACTTTTAAGATTATTTACAATTTCTAAAATTTGGGTTTTTTTTTGTTTTTTTTTGTGTGTGTGTGGGGGTGGGGGGTTGGTTTGAGATTTTTTGGGGTCATTTGCAATTTCAAAAATAACTAAATCTAGGTTTAACCGTACCCGAGTGAAAAGGAGATACTTATCGGCCAACCCAGATCAGCTCTACAAGCAGCCCGCACTCAACATATTGTGTCAGCCGACTGCTCTCGTATTTATTGCTCTAACAAAAGCATCATTATTCTAGCCCCATAGTCTTTATGACTCATCGAACCCAGTCAGCTCCAAAACACCTGTTATCATTCCCTCATTAAATGTTCAGATGACTCAATTTTTTTTGCAATTGAAACCTGTAAGGTATTTGTTGACTCGACAGCCTGACTGGGGTACAACGCTGCATGGGGTAACTTCTTTTGCTTTTTGGCAACTTTGAATAACTACCTATACAATTTGTCTTTGATTTTCTCACTCAAGATCAATATATTGACTTGATCGTCGAAGAAACAACCGAAGAACCTAACTCCGCCCTCTTACGAGTTTTTATGTGTAGATAAGAGCAGCGAGTTCTGAAATCAGTCATCTGAAGGAGTTTAAGGACCCTAAACACTCTCAACTCTGGCATAAACTCCCTATTTGATAAACTGACATCAACAGTTTGGCACCCACCATAGGGCCTTCCTTCTTCTTCGAGCAAGATGTCTGGTTCTGAGCGCCCTGGTAGGTCGGTTAATCCTATCCTAAAGAACGACGTGCAGATTACGTCACTCAAGCCAAGTTAGAGGAATCTGCTCAGCAGATCTCCCAGTCTTTCCAGCAGTAATTCGTGACGTTCACTAATGAGCTCCTCAATCGAATTCCTCCCCAACAAACTTCTTCATTAGCTGCTCTTACACTACCAACGGGTCAGCCAATAGTTCCTCCTTTCCCAGCACATGCCGCATCAGCGAGACATCACAGAGACTACATCGAGTACATGTCTCCACCGCCACGCTAGCAAGCTCACTTTGTGGATCCTCATCAGCACTATCCACAATTTGTGGAAGCAACAGAAGAGAGCCCTAGTCCTAATCGTGCTGGCCAAGAACATGTCGCTGGAGGAACATCACGAGGCCCTCGGTATTATTATTCCACTCCAGGCCCGTCAACCACCAATTTGGCATCTAGTTATGATCAGTCTTTCCGGCCAATCACCGAGGCCATTGGGGGGAACACCCCCCTCACCGACGAAATCATGAATGTCACTTGTGAGAGATTCAAGATGTCTCATGTGGAGAAGTACAATGGTGTGAAGGAGACCCGACTGAGCACGTTCAGAGCTACTATGACATAATGACTATGCTGAAACATTAGAGCCAATCATTTACAGCTGCTCTCCCATTACCTTAACGGGAAGCGTCAATTTATGGTAAAACTCGCTGGTGAAGAAGTCCATTAATAGCTTTGAGTAGCTCAACTAGAAGTTCGTTTAATGAGGATAGATAAGTTGTTCTTTATTCTAGAGAGATTGTGAGAGAGAGATTTTGTAATCTTTTATTCCTTATAATCTAGAGAATGTATTTTTCTTCACAAATTGAATTGTGTTGTGTGTTCCTACTGTTTTCTTCTCATCTATACTTTTGATAATTCCGTGATCAAAGGTGTTCGCTCGGCGACTCGTATCAAGTTAGTATCAGAGCAATCAGATCTTGTGAAGGGGTAATCCTGTGTATGGTCCTTACTCGATCACAATACAAGAAGCTAGGCAAGATCCTTATTTCTTTGGAAGAGATCCAGAAATCAAGAAAGAAGAAGATGGCGGATAATGACAACTCAGTGAGGCTTGATGCATTAGAGAAACTGATCGAAATAATTGGGTCAACTCTCATACAGCTCGTCGAACTCATCCACGGAGGGACCAAAAGGGGGAATCTTCTTCGAAGTCCAAGAAGAAACCTGTAGAGTTAGGTGGGGAGAGTGGAAATTTAGATTTCGATGTGGAGGTCAAGGCCGTCAGGCTGTTCCACATCAAGGGGGGGTAATGGTTCTTACCAAAATTTGAAGATTGATTTTAAAGTAGAGATTCTTGTTTATGATGGGAGCATTAACGTTGAAATGCTTGATGATTGGATCGAGTGTATGAAGACTTATTTTACTCTTTATGGCTATTCGTTTAAAGAGAAGATTGTTTTTGTAACATTGAAGCTTTCAGGGCACGCGTTGATGTGGTGGAAATCCTATTGCAAGTAGGAGAATAAAGCGATGTCGTGGAACAAGTTCAAGGAGTTACTAAGAAAGTAGTTCTACCCGTGGGATTTTTTAAAGAGTGTTGGTACAAGTGGTATGACTTGCACTAAAGATTCAATCAAACCATTCAAGAATACACGACTGAGTTTCAACAACAAACGATGGTCCTTAAAATTGCAACGGAGGAGTACTCGGTCTTTATGAAGTATATGGTGGGTTTGAATGAATACATTCGGAAGGAGATGAAGCTATTCACGGTTGAGTCGATTGCAGAGGCGAGCATGAAGGCTATTGCCATAGAGGGAAACTAGAAGAAAGGCAACGAGACAAAGGAGTATGTCAAACAAGTGGGGGGCAAGTCTAGTGGATCCCAACCTAAAGAGGAGAAGAAGAAGGGCGACCCAGGAAAGGTAGGATTGACTTGTAATCTCTGCAAGAAGACATGGAACGTAGCTGATCGATGCTGAGAGAAGTATCATCATCTGAAGCTGAAAGGGTTGAAGAAGAAGGAGGAGAAAAAGGCATACGTAGTGGCAAAGGGTCCGAAGGAAGTCCCCAGGATGACATAGCCCAATAGTAGTCTTAACCTTATGGTAGTGAAGCAGGCCGCGAAGGAAGACGAGGACCCCAGGGAGCAGCTCTTTGTTCTTAAGTTGTAGGTGAAGACCAGTTTGGTTGATGCCATAGTTGCTTCAGAGAGTCAGAAGAATTTGATATCCAAGACCCTGATTTAGAAGTTGGGTCTGAAGACGGTCAGGCATCCAAAACCTTATCCTTTAAGGTAGATTGAGAAGGAGGTGAGGCTGAGTGTGATCAATCAATGCACTTTCAAATTTGCACTCCACGAGTCGTATATTAACGAGGTCACGTGTGATATTGTTCCATTAGATGTTTGCTAAGTTATACTGGGCAATCCTTATTTTTGGGACATGTACGTGATCTATGACAGGCGGGCCCAGAAGTATACGTTCACCAAGGATGATGATCACTTCATAATTCATTTGGCATCTCTCACAGGAGACGAGTTTGGTGATGGTGACTCAAGCGAAGAGTCTAGTGAATATGAGCAAGAAGTTTGTTTTATTGTTCATTAGACCTTATGAGGAGCAGCTGAGTAGGGTGTGCTTGATTACCTTGAGCAAGCTTTAGAAGGAAGATCTTGATAGGTTAAAGGCCAAGTATGCGGACTTGTTTTTGTAGATCATAGGACTACCACCGAGGCAGAGTGTGGAGCACGAGATTATGTTGACGGGAGAGAGTTTATTGTCGAATATAGGTCTCTACCGCACATCTGTAAAGGAATCCGAGGAGATCAAGAAACAAGTTCAGGAGCTTCTATAGATGGGAGTGATAGTGCTGAGTTGTTCGCCTTGTAGGTCACCAGTTTTGTTGGTTCCTAAGAAGGATGGAGACTGGCGCATGTGCGTGGATTACGGGGCGCACAACAAGATAACGGTCAAAAATTCTTACCCACTACCATGGATAGATGATCTTATGGACCAGTTAGATGGGGTGAGGTTTTTCACGAAGGTAGATCTTAAGTCTGGCTATCACCAGGTGAGGATTCGAGAGGATGACACT